CAGCACCATTTACTGAATAGGTTCTCCTCTCCCCAGTGGTAGGTGGTGAAAGCTTTGTCGAAGATGAGTTGGTTGAGAAATTGAGGTTTAGCTTCTGGAATCTCAATTCTATTTCATTGGTCTATATACCAATACTAAGTTGTTTTGATTATTGTAGTTTTATAGTAAAGTTTGAAGTCAGATAATGTGATACCGCCTGCTTTTTTTTTTTTTTTTTTGCTGAGGATTGTTCTGGCTATTCTTGGTCATTTGTGTTTCCATATGAATTCCTGTATTGTTTTTTCTAGGTCTGAGAAGAATGTTGCTGGTAATTTGATGGGTATTGCATTAAATCTGTAGATTGCCTTAGGTAGGATGGACATCTTCACCAATGTTGATTCTTCCTGAAATAAGTTCGGCGCCAGTAATGACTCCACACCCAGTCAGGACCAAGAGATTTATTAAAGCGGCTGTTACAGAGGGGATCTGTAATGGGAAAAAAGGAAAAGAGAGAGAGAGTAAGAGAGAGAGAGAGGAAGTGGGAGAGAGGCCGGGAGAGAGCTGCAGAGAGGGAGAGAGGGAGAGAGCAACAGAGAGAGAGAGAAAGAGAAAGAGAGACAGAGAGAGAGAGTTGCAGGGGAGAGGGCTGTATTTATCAGCCCGACAGGGCCAGAAGGGGCCGTGCTATGTTCCTAATGGAGGAGCTGCATGGGAGCCGGGCGGGGCCGACGCTGTGCTACAGTCCTATTGGACGCATAACAAAGCTGGCTACGCATTGGAGGCTTGCAGGTTTGAAATTCGCGCAGGAAGGTTTGAAATTCGCGCGGGGAATTGTGCTCACAGAAGCCGGGACCTAGGGCCTTTGTTGTCTGGTGTGTCTGAGCCATTTTGGGAGCCGCCCCTCTGGTCGCTTCCTGCACCCTTCAGTGTCAGAGCAGATAATAGTCTTCTGTCCCCTGCTTCAAGGCTCCTTTCATTATGCCCCTCTCTATGCTTCCTTGGAAGCAGTCAGTACTGTTCATAGCCCTGTTACGGGGGCAAGGGTCACACAGACCCTCTTCAAGTCTCACCCTTCCATCCTTGGCAAGATGACCTTCCCAACGCCCGTGAGCATGAAGGGCTTCTCTTGCCCCGTGGAGGCCCAGAGAAGAGAGGGGAAGGAGCCAGTGCTAGAAGAGTTCCCAAGAATTCTTGAGATCCCCCTAGGAGAGGTATAGGTAGCCACGCACAGAGTTTCCCTCCTCAAAAGAAAAATCCTGGAACTTCCGCTGCAGTGCACAGATTCAGAAAGTTCGGGGTCCTCTCCCACTCAGGGAACAGGCCAGCTCTTTATACCCTCATGATTCCTAAAGGACCAGGCAAAACAGTAATGCACTCTTTTGTGAATGATACAGTCCACGAATGATCAGCGTGTAGGGAGTAAGGGTGGCATGGAAGGCTGGCTCTCCTCAGCCTCTCTTCTTGGAGGGCTGTCGGTGCTACTTTGCTGCTTTGTGGCCATATCTGTCCCTGGATGCAGGGCATTGACTCGTAATGCTCTCTGCCCCTTTTTACTCGTGTTGAGTGTAAAAGACAAGGCCGGATGTAAACCACACAGAGAGTGGCTCGTCACTGAGACTCGTTAAGGAAACACACGAACCTGAGGGAAAGCTTCCAATACGGCAGGGCATGCCTATCAAAGCAAGGACTTGTGGATTACTCCAAGGAACTGAACCAGTTGGAGGGTTTGCAGGAACTGAAAAGACTGTGAGATCATTTCAACGTCACCACATCAGGAAGACAGGGAAGGCTGGAGATAGAGAAAGTAACTGATTTGTCCAAGGTCTCACAGCCCGCAGAGGCGGGACTGGACCTAGAAGTCAGGTTTCTGACTGCTAAGGTCATAGTCTTTCCTGGGACCTGGAGTCTGGAAAACTCTTTTATCAGCCCACATGGCAGTCGGTGCTGCGCTCTCACCCCAGTCCCTTTGAACTCTAGAATCAGTTTTGTATAAGTATTACTAACCAAAGGCCCACAAAGGGAGTGGCTGCCAAGGTTGAGTTTAAAACCGACCTTTGCCTTACCAGTTGGGTGGCCTTGGACACCTCTTTTGGTCTCCCTGACTTCAATTTCTCATCCCTGAGATGGGAGTAATACTCTCTTTAGGGTTTTTGCGGTAAGGTCTGATGTAAGTTAAGGGCCTGCTGTGTTGTAAGGATATTGGTGTCACATCCCAGCCAGCAGTGCACTGTGGCTACCTCCTTAGAGCTCACCAAAGCCCACTGTTAAATTTTGAAGAATTTTCCAAGTTGGTTGTGAACCACAGCCATGATTAAAAATCAAATTCCATAAGCAAAGTTGAATTGTATTCAAGCCAAAGGTAACAAAAATAATCCAAACTCATCACTTTGTAATTATTTTGACTACACTTTACTATTTACTTATGTTCTTGAGGCTATTTTTGCCTATTTTATTTGTATACTATATGCCCGTGCTCTACTGGAACTCTTGAAATTTGCCATAATGAGAGTATTTTAACCAAAGGAAATAAGCAAATCTACAAACCAGGACTTTGCTCACCAGCCCTCCTTCAGAGAGCAGGATGTTAAACATTCACCAGCTCACCACACTGCCGGCAACAAGAAGGAGGTGGGTGTCAGCCAGAGATCGCTAGAGATTAGATGGAAATCATTTTCCTTTCCTTCAAATCAGGTTCTTCATGCGCACCCATCCCTCCTACCCAGAAGCTGATCTCAACTTTATTTCTGATTTCTGGCCACTTCTGCCCAATGGACTTGAAGCTGCTTACGAAGATGCCGGTAGAGATCAAGTCCGGTTTTTCAAAGGTAATGTTTCTGGTTATTTCCCACTGCATTTATAAGTTAATTTTTCATCCTCTTGTGGGTGGAGATATAAGGGCGCTAGCTACATTCTTTCCAGGGACTTTTGAAATCTAACAGTCTTACCAACCAAGTCAACAGAAGGCCAACAGCTTAACTAAAAATCACATGGTGTATTTTGGAGTCATTTTAAGTAAAAAGCAAATGACTAGAGATAGAAATGTTCTAGGCTGTTTGTGAATCTTGAATTATGGAAGTGTTTTCTGTGCAATCTATTTATGGACCCCTTCATACTCCTGGGAACACTCGAGAGTAAAATTCAAGACTTGAGCCCATCCTACGGAGGATATAACAGAAAGGTTTTGTTTGTGCAATTTCCTAGACCCGATTTTAATACAAACAACCCTCTTGAGAATGGGGGTGGTCCCCCACTGGGAAACCAGATGGAGGAACTGCAATTTTGCTGTCAACATGTGGTCCTCAGACCGGTGGCATTGGCATCACCTGGCAGTTTGATACAAATACAGAATCTCAGATCCCATCCCAAAGCTTCTTTGACAGAATCTGAACTTTAACAAGTTTCCCAGACGATTCATATGTCCATCAAGGCATGAGAAGTTCAGAATTGCTGTGACTTGAATAGGAGACACTTTGTTGATTCTAACAGAATGACACAAAATCCAATGATCAGCTCCTGGCTTGGAAGGCACTTTGTAGGACTCATATATTTTTGTAAGTATGTGCTTGGTATAGCACAGACAAACATTGAGATGTTTGACCCGAGAGAAAGAACTGAATGCAGTTCAGATGGGAAAAACCCTCTGAAACAGAATGATCAGTTTATAAATCATAAACATAAGTGGAATTTTAGATACACAGAGTTTAAAATTCCTTTCTCATGCAAGGGTAAGCAAGCACATTTTTTGCAATAAGAGCAATCCTGGTTTTTGGATATAAGACCAGCTTTATGTGATGAGAGGCTTATTGAGGTTCAACATACAGAATCTGGACACAGCATGAATTCAACCACTTGGAACTGTATTCTAGTCAAGTGCAATGATTTGAAGCCAGAGTTGCAGGTCGTTGCAGACTGTGAACCAGGTACTGTTGGTGTGAACTTTCACAGTCCCTGGGCAACCTGGAGAAGCAAAGCTTATATCCCTGACTTGGCATGAAAACTCTTCAGTCATTTGAACATCTGGCTTTGGAAAGAAGTCCTCAACCCCACAAACCAGTCATTCTCAAAGTTTGCTGCAGATTAGAATCACTTAGGGAGTTTTAAAAATAAATCAAGGCTGGGCGCAGTGGCTTAAGTCTGTAATCCCAGCACTTTGGGAGGCCGAGGCAAGAGGATTGCCTAACCCAGGGGTTCAAGACCAACATGGGCAACTTGGTGAGACCTCGTCTCTACAATTAAAAAAAAAATGAGCTGGGTGTGGTAGCGTGCGCCTGTAGTTCCAGCTACTTGGAAGGGAGAGGCAGAAGGATCATTGCCTGACCCGGCAGGTCGATGCTGGGGTGGCTGTGAGTGTGCCATGGCACTCCAGCCTGGGCGACAGAGTGAGACTCTGACTCAAAAAAGAAAAGAAAAGAAAAGAAAAAATCAACTCATTTAACTGCTCTGGGATAGGATCTTGGCATCATCAGTCTTTTCAGAAGTCTCTCTGCAGCCAGGATACTGCCGCGCATGTGAAACGGAGAACTTAGCTGGAAATTCACTTACTCTCTGTCTACGGAAGCCCTGGGCAAGTATTTGATTGTCCTGTTTCTTGTTTGACAGGTTACAGGTTCTGGGCTGTTCAGGGCCAAGACGTGCTTCGCGGATACCCCCAGGACATCTACAGCTCCTATGGCTTCCCTAGAACTGTGAAGCACATTGATGCTGCTGTTTTTGAGGAAGAAACTGGAAAGACATTCTTCTTTGTTGGTAACAAATACTGGAGGTAAGGACCGAGTCAGGAAATGTTAGGGCACCAGTTCTTTCCACATAGAGAGTTCTAGACTGAACCATTTCAAAAGGAGTCTGAAATTGGCTTGGCCAGCATCCTTTTCTGTAAACGACTGTGGCCAGTGTATCATCCATTTAGTCAATTTACAACAGTCATCACCCAATGCCTGTGCTGGAAATCCAGGAAGTGTGTGGGGCTGAATTTTTTTTTTTTTTAATGTAAAAATGAGGGTCATCTTAACAGAGCTTCTGTGGTCAAAAGGAGCTTATTTTTCATAGTATTGTGCCTTAATAGGACATCGTGTGGAAACTACCAGAGAGTTAGATAATGGATTTCAGAGGGATCTTATAAGCCTTTTAGTCCACCCAACATTCTACCTCTCCTCATCTACTCTCCATTTTACAAATGATCTATAAAATTAAAAATTCTTATCCGGACGTGGTGGCTCATGCCTATAAACCCAACACTTTGGGAGGCCAAGGTGGGAGGTTTGCTTGAGCCCAGGAGTTTGAGACCTCATCTCTACCAAAAAAAAAAAATTTAACCAGGTGTGGTGGCATGTGCCTGTAGTCCCAGGTACTTGAGAGGCTGAGGCGAGAGGATCATCTGAACCCAGGAGGTTGAGTGAGCAGGATAGGGTCACTGAACTTCAGTCTGTGTGACGACCCTGACTCCAAAAAAAAAAAAAAAATCTTGTTAGATTCCTGATGGTGCAGTTCCTGAAATGATTTTGAGAAACCTACATGTTTAGAAAAAGGTTCTGACATTCCTAACTCTTTTCTGACCAGGTATGACGAATATAAACGATCCATGGATGTAGGTTATCCCAAAATGATAGCACATGGCTTTCCTGGAATTGGCCACAAAGTTGATGCTGTGTTCAAGAAAGATGGTAAGTGAATTTATCTGTTTTGCCGCCATCTTGTTGCCATAGTAACCGCATCAGTATTGTTATTTGGAATAGCAAATGCCCAAAATACCTGTGCTCACAAATGAATTGGTTTCTCAAGAATTTAAGTTAAGCCTAGAAACGACTTGTATAATGGTAGTAAGTCTCTTTTGTTTTATTTCTAGGATTTTTCTACTTCTTTCACGGAACGAGGCAATACAAGTTTGATCCTAAAACCAAAAGAATTTTGACCCTCCTGAAAGCAAACAGTTGGTTCAACTGCAGAAAAAATTGACCAACTGTTACAAAGTTAAACGGAAAAGTATATTTCATGAGCCCAAGAAAGGTGTCTTCCTTAAGAGTCATATATTTTCCAGTATTTTTTTAACCTCTACAGTCACTGATACACAGAGCTGTCAAATGTAACGTTATTTATACCTCATTCAGTATATGATTTTTAAGATTTAGAATGCAGGGTTTTATGTATTGATGTGATTTCGTTCTACAATGATGGGTAGGAAAGGTCAAGTGCATGGCTTATGGAGCCATTTGGGCCAATGTTACAAAGAAGATCTTTTCCTGTGTGCCAAGCTGGGACATTGATCCTGAGGGACCAGCATCCTCAGTGGTGAGCATCTCCTCAAAAGAGAAGGTGGCAAGAGACAGGAGTCTTCACCAGACGCAAAGGAACTCAAGAACACATGAGCAGTCACGTGTATTATCCTGATACGCAAGGACAACTCTTCTTACCCAAAATAAAGAGTTGGTTTTCTTTTTTGAAAAAAGCTATCCTTGTCTCTATTTTGCAAGTTTTCTATTATATTATTATAGTGTTACTTTCTGATTATGAAGCCACCCATACAGACGTTGATCTTCAAATTGGAAATGGGAAGTAGACAATTTGAAAAATATTCATGTGGGAAATTAGGATACACAAGAGGTTGAAATAGTCTCCAATCTCATTGATTTTTTTTTCAAGTCTGTTTCTCACTCCGTTGCCCAGGCTGGAGTGCAGTGACGGGATCCTGATACTGATCAGTGATTCTTCTGCCTCAGCCTCCCAAGTAGCTGGGACTACAGGCACACGCCACCACGCCCAGTTAATTATTTGCTTTTTTTTTTTTTTTTTTTTAGGGATAGGATCTCACTGTATTGCCTAGGCTGGTCTGGAACTCCTAGCCTTAAGCAGGCCTCCTACCTTGGCCTCCCAAAGTGTTAAGATCACAGGCATAAGCCACCACGCCAGGCCCATTCTCACGGAATTTACATTATATAAATGGGGGGGGCAGCGAAGAAAAACATCTATTTCCCTTGCCTCATCTAAGAATTCCAAAACCGGGTCTAGTTAAAATCAGTGCCAGCATGGCAAAGCTAAGTGTATATTAGTTGCTCTTCTAAGTTCATGAGAAGTTTCCATTTTCTCACAGTTCAATTCCTTATGATTTCAGAAAGGGCAAGGGTGGGATGTCTGACTCTTCTGGCCACTGGGTTGTGTGGAGAAGTGACAAATATCATTTCCAGACTGAAACATTTAATTACTGCTGTAGATTTCTCCAGGGGTCCACTCCCCTGCTGTGGAGTTTAGAAACACATCTGGAGGGAGTTGCCCCCAGGCAGAGCAATTTGTATCTAATTTGTCTAAATAAGCAGCAATCAGTTTATCATGACTAATTTGGGAGGAAGTCAATGTATGCAGCAGTCTTGCAGGTAGCATCTGAGCCCTATGAGTTATTTTTGAAGATGCGGAGTACAATCAGGATTAGGTAGATGAGTGGTCATCATCCAGGTAAAGTTTGGGCCTCCCTTTGGTCCCCACTCCTCCTGGCTTGAGATCGGGTGCCCTTACCGATGTCATATGCTCCCCCTCCCTCCCTGGCAGTGTCCTGCTACTGCCGTTCCCTTTTTTATAGTATTAGGATTAATGTTCAGTGTCCACTTAGGAGAACATGATACTTGGTTTTTTGTTTCTGTGATAGATCACTGAGTGTTATAGACTCGAAATCCATCCAAGTTGCTGCAAAGTTCGTAATTTTGTCCTTCTTTATGGCTGCATAATACTCCATTGTGCATATGTAGCACTTTTAAAAATCTGCTCCACCTTCACCCCCACAAGTTTTATGAGCAGTTCACAGGGTGCTCAATGGTGTTCATAGGTTTTCCAAGCACATAGAGTCTCAAGAATATTTTGAGTCCCTTGTGATTCTGAGGCAGTTCTCCACTCAAGAATTTAGAAGGCAATGTAACTTCTCCTTTGGCCAAGTCTATCTCACCCTCTCTTTTTTCCTCAAACTTTTTATATTGAAGGATAAACATAAATACAGAAAGACACACACAGTATAAATGTTCACATCAATGGATTATCACAGAGTTAACAAATGCATGTAACTCTCACCCTCATCAAGAAATAGCACATTACCCATACCAGACCCTCAAACCCCTTCCACCACTACCAATCTGTCTTAGGTTGGTTCACTACCAGCAGAGCCTGAAATAGGGATTTGTTGGTGGGATCACGGGAGGAGGTGTGCTCTCAGGTGAAGAGGAGTGAGGAACACATTAAAGAGCAGAGGAAAAGCTAAAGAATGCGGTCTCAGGTGGAGGTTGCTCTGATCTCATGAGAAAGCCGTGGAGCCAAGATGCAACCAAGAGTTAGTCCTACCTGGCAGCAAAGGGACAGTCTTTTGTACCCCTGTGTCAACCAGTCATCAGTCAAGGTCTGGCCTGGGTTGGAAGGCATAGCATCCCAGGCAAGATGCGCCTCTTTGGCAAAGTAATGGGAGACACCTGTGAGTTGTAGGCAGCCAACTCCTGCAGTAACCAGGAAGGTGGGTGCCCTGGTGCTAAAGGGATTTGGGGAGAGCACCCATGGTATCCACTGCATTTTCTGTTTCCCAAAGATCACCACCATGTTGACTTCTAACACCTTAGGGTAAATCTGCTTGTTTTCAAAATAAATGGAATCAAGTATTGTGAGGTATTGTCCAGGCATAAATTTTCCCCCCATACCTGGCTTCTTTCTGCCTCTTCTCTCAAGGAGTGGCCTCTGGCCAAGGCTGGTCTCTGAAGGATATGCATATTCCCAGTAATGAGTCATGGAGTACAGGTAATGAAGCTACCCTGAAGATAATGTAGTTACTGCTCCTTTTTTTTTTTTTTTGAGTTGGAGTCTCACTCCATCGCCCAGGCTGGAATGCAGTGGCACACTTATAACCACCCCATCGTCAACCTGCTGGGCTCAGGTGATCCTTCCGTCTCAGTCTTCCAACCCAGAACTACAAGCATGTGCTACCACGCCCGGCTAATTTCTTAATTTATTGTAGAGATGAGGTCTCACCAAGTTGCCTGGGCTGGTCTCGAACCCATGGACTCAGGCGATCCTCTCACCTCGGCCTCCCAAAGTGCTGAGATTACAGGCTTGAGCCACCACGCCCGGCTGTTACTCTTCATCAACATAATTATAAACTTATTGCTTTGATTATAAAACTGCTTGCTGTACTGCCCTGAGGTGCAGATTCTTCACCGACCTGCCACCTGTGTCTCCTGTAAGTTCTAATAAGTCAATGTCTTTCCCTGCTGGACCTCTGGGTGACTTCTTTGGAACAGGTAAGCATTATGGACAAGCCCTCTCAGATTTGGGGTTACTGCATTGCAGGTGTGTATCTTCTTGTGTCTGCCTAACTTTGTTAAGAGTTGGAGTTTCACTCTGTCGCCCAGACTGGAGTGCAGTGGCATGCTCCAGGTCACCGCAGCCTCGACCTGCTAGGCTCCGACGATCCTTCCACCTCAGCCTTCCAAGTAGCTGGAACTACAGGCACGCACTACCACGCCCGGCTAATTTTTGATGTATTGTAGAGATGAAGTCTCGCCAAGTTGCCCAGGCAGGTCTCGAACCCACAGGCTCAGGCCATCCACTCACCTCGGCCTCCCAAAGTGCTGGGATGACACGCTCAGCCACCAAGCCCGGCCTCTGCCTAACTTTTAATCATTATGTTTCTGCACTTCATTCCCTGTTGATAGACATTGAGTTGTTACTGTTTGGGGGTTTCTACAAATAATGACACATATATGTAGGCATTTCTACTTTGATTTTATGCCTAAGTGTGCAATTGCTGAATCATAGATTATCAAACACCTCTTCTGATTATGCCTTGGACTCATCAATCTCTTACCCCAGTAACAGCAGTGGTGAGTGGTTCAGCGCAGATTCTAAACCAGCTTGTGAACTGTTGGCTGCTCTTGTCAGGCCTGTGCACTGTGCTTCTTGCTTCCAAGTTTAAGGCTTCTCTTGATGTCGCATCAGGGTCTGCGGTGAAACCCGCTCAGACTCATGTGTATGCAACGGAAAAGTGACAAGAGTATCATTTGTGGAGGAGATATTTTACCGATGTGAGAAGAGTGCATCTCCCTTTCTTCAGAAAGGTGTTCTTAAGACATATTTCAGGTGGGTTCCATGTTGACCACCTCGTTCCTCATATCCCTGTCCAGTTGACAATTCGCCTTTGTGTTAGCTCTCTCTCTTTCCCCGCTTTGCTCTTTCTGTCCTTTAGTCCAGCTCCATGGGTCACAGGCCCCAACTGGTGCCTAGACATTTGTCTCAGGTTCTGCTTTCTAGGAACACCACACTGAGATAATGTGTGCTGGAAGTGGGATGGGGAGACCCTTGGCATATAATGACATCACAGTTACTAAGCTTGTCGTCCTTGGTTGATTGTGAAGAGATGCTGGGGAATGGTGAGATGTGGGGTCATCCGGTAGCTGTGACACTTTAGTAGCATAAGAAGAATGGTAATTATAAGAAAGTGTGAGTGGGCTGGGGAGCTGCTCTGGGAATTTGACAAAGTGATATGATTAGGGAAGCCAAATATCAACTCAAGACACATTGTGAAAGCCAGCACAATAATGACATTTAAAGAAATCTTCTTGATTGCAGACAGTGCTAAAAAATCAATCTCAAATCTAATTGCAAAGTCAGGCACTTTCTAGCTGGAAGAATGGGTAGATACACCTGAGAACTTGAGTGCTTAAATTTTCCTGAAAGCACTGCGCGGGCAGAAATAGTACCTTCCTCTTTGCAGAAGCGTGCAGCCTACCCTTGCACGGAGAATTGACAATGACCTTATCTGAGACAATGCCTCCCAAGACAACACAATGATGTATATGATGTGAAGAAAATAAGTTTACTTTAAATTTTTTTTTAATTGAGTTGGAGTCTCACTTCATCATCCAGGCTGGCTCAGGCAATCCTTCCACCTCAGCCTTCCAAGTAGCCGAAAATACAGGTGCATGCTACCTCACCCGGCCAATTTTTTTGATTTAGTGTAGAGATGAGGTCTTGCCAAATTGCTCAGGCTGTTCTCGAAC